CCACTGAACCTGAAATAGAGCTGCATGACAAATGACAGTTCCATTTTTGAGGTTCCAAAATATATTGTCAAAGCATGAAACCAAAACCTTTCAGGCATTTTTTTGCAAAATTGGATAAATAATGTCCCTTTTCTGATTCAAGAAGTCATTTGACAAAATCAGAGAATGAGAGTGTGATGGGGCAGTGACTGAAGATGAAGACGATGCCATGTTCTGCCTGATTCAAAGCAGAGTTTTTCATTCCTGATCACTGTAATCTAGGCCAAGCTGGGGGTTTGAGCCCGAGTCTCCCACATTCCCAGGAATATATGGCACGAAAGACCTTTGCTCTCCCACTGCACACCTAGGAAGCCATGTTGACAAAGTCTTCTTTCAAAACTAGTTTTAAATGTACTAAAATTTCATGTTGTTGAAAGTGTCCCAACCAGCTGTCAGCAACTGCATTAACTTGGGAGTAGTTCACTCTTCAGCATCCTCCAGGACATCAGGATCTTGCCCAGTAGAAGTCAGCATCCCTATTTTGAATTTGAAATCAATATGTCTGCTTGCTTCCATGACTTAGGTGTTCCAGTTCAGAATATATTTAGTTTTCCAAGTGCAAAACCCTGCTGCAGCCAACGAAGTTAATTGGAGTCAGTTTCAGTGTACAAGCTAGGTATTATGGACTTATCATTTCAAATTTGATGTAAGCCACAAACCTTCACAGCCCATGTGCTCCCCCTCTTTGATCCTGAAGAGACATCATAATGCTGTGTTTGTGATAATACAGTCATTTCCATGGCAACAAATAGTCAGAAACACAAGATTATGACCCCTCTGTGTGATCAGGCAAAACAGAGAAGTCGGGTAAAGAAGGAAAAAATTCTTTATACAGTGGTACCAGTTACAGGCTAGCAGCTTCAGGCACAGTGAACTCGCTTTCCTCCAAGTTTTGATCTAGCATAAAAATTCTTCCTTCTACACTAATCTAAATTATTTAATGGCATATTCATCTACTATTAGTCTTCATGACAGTATCTTGTATTGCAAAAAGCCCCAATGAAATTAAATCATAGCTTAAGAAATACATTAGTTTCAGCGAAATTCAAGGAGAATACTTGGAAAGTCAATACTATTTTACAGTTTCTCTATACAAGCAATGATATTTCAGCTATAGTCTGCAATTTATATCAGTATTACCAACCCCTGTTTTACAGATGAGAAAATTGAGCCATAGACAGCAATTTGTCCAAGGTTACATACTGAGTCATTTATAGCCAAAGTAGAAACCATGTTTCTTCTAGCCCGAATGCATGTGTGGCCACATCTCCTGCAGGCAAACACTGCATGAAGCTCAATCAACACTTTAGCTAGCTTATTAAGTGTGCCGCTCTCTTGGGTAAAGTATAGCATCGCACCAGCCTAAAGAGAGCATGGAGGATTCTACCTAGGAGACCAGTTCTCCTGGGTATCCTGGGT